ACGGTACTGGTATGGCAATGGTAATAGTATTAGTAGTGATGATTATGATTATGATGATGATGACGATGACGATGACGATGACGATGATGACGATGCTGCAGATTATGATGTCGATGATGATGTTGATGATGATATGATGATGATCATGGTGATCACGGCAACGACGATATTGAAAATGATGATGATGATGATGATGATGATGATGATGATGATGATGATGTTGATGCTGATGCTGATGCTGATGCTGATGCTGATGATGATGATGATGATGGTGGTGGTGGTGGTGGTGATGATGATGATGATGATGATGATGATGATCCTTGTGGTGAGTAATTCATGGACGTCGTACTGTAAGCGATTTCTCGTATGAAATACGCAGTTTCATCGAGTCCCGTGGTGCATTTTCCTTGTTCAAGCAGTTCCATTAGAAGGACTCTGCGACACGTGCTGACGTGGCCACTCAACTATCAGTCATGAGGAAGATGAGGATGAGGATAATGAGATGAGGATGAGGATGAGGATGGAGAAGGCAGGAATGGAGGGGGATGGAGAAAGGAGACGGGCAGGAGATGAGGGACGCGGAGGAGGGGGAATGGGGAGGAGGGTGCGGGGAGGGGGAGGAGGGTACACAGGAGAATTGGGAGGAGGTGGACAAAAAGGAAAGGTAAGCAGATTTTGCAGGCCCTCCAAACAGAAATACGTACCCCGTCACCAGTTTGGCTCAAGTTCCAGCACACGCGCACAGTCCAGAAGGCATCGGCAGCGCCGCTGCTTCCTCACCCAAGCAGCAGAGATGGCGCCGATGATGAAGTCCACGGTCATGACCAAGAGCGCCCTCACCGCAGCGCTGGCGGAGGCCTGCGAGGTGAAGAGGGGCGTGATCGGCACGGCCTTGAGCACCCTCGCGAGCATTGCGTCGACTGAGGCAAAGAAGAACGGCAAGTTCGTCATCCCGGGAGTTGTGATGATCAAGACGCGCCAGAAGAAGGCGACCAAGGCGGGGAAGCGCGAGATCTTCGGCAAGGTCGTCATGGTGAAGGCGAAGCCGGCCAAGACCATCGTGAAGGCCTTCCCCGCGAAGGCCCTCAAGGACGAGTTCTGAGGGCCTCCTGGTCTGTGGCGAGCCTTGCCAAGAGGCTCCGTGTGTGCTCCCCCAGTTCCTTCTCGTCCATCCCTCCCCCCTCCGAGGAATCTTCGTGCCATTTTGTCCAGGTTGGCTGGAGGGGGCGTGGTCATGCATGGCCTTCCGGTGCCAGGACGCTCGTCGAGTGCGGTCATTTGTACTCCACATCCGTCTCGCAGAGATAAACAGCATTGCACACCCCAGTCGCGAATCCGAAATGATTTGATTCGTGAGCACATGCAGCTCCTTCTGGGTTGGTTGGAGCAGCCACGCTGGAGGCTGAGGACGATGATGATAATGATGCTGATGATGATAATGATGATGATGACGACCATGATGACCACGACGACGACGATAATGGTAATGGCAATGGCAATGGAAATGGTAATGGTAGTGGTAGTGGTACTGGTACTGGTAAGTGTAAGTGTAAGTGTAAGTGTAAGTGTAAGTGTAATGGTAATGGTAATGGTAAGGATAAAGTACCGATGATGATAATGATGATGATGACGATGAAGATGACGATGCATATGACGATGTGAATGATGATAATGATGATAATGATGATGAAAATGATGATGATGATGATGATGATGATGATGATGATGATGATGATGATGTTGGTGTTGGTGGTGATTGTGGTTATGATGCTGGTGGTTCGGGTGATAATGCTGATGATGACCTTCCGGTGCCATGACGCTCGGCGAGGGCGGTCATTTGTACTACACATCCGTTTCGCAGAGAGAAACATCAGTGCACACCCCAGTCACGAATCCGAAATGATTTGATTCGTGAGCACATGCAACTCTTCCTTTGGCTTGGTTGGAGCAGCCATGCTGGAGGCTGAGGACGAGGAGGATAATGATGATTGGGACGGTGATGACGACCATGATGACCACAGTGACGGCGGTCATGGTAACGGTAATGGTAACGGTGACAGTAACGGTAATGGTGATGGTAATGGTAATGGTAATGGTAATGGTAATGGTAATCGTATTGGTAGCGATGATTCTGATTCTGATGATTATGATGATGACGATGACGATGATGATGTTGATGATGGTGTTGATGATGATGATGGTGGTGAGGTTGATGATGATGATGATGTTGATGATGATGATTATGATGATGATGAGGAGGAGGAGGATTCTGATTAGGATGATAATAATGATCACGGCAACGACGACATTGAAAATGATGGTGGCAATGATGATGGTGATGATGTTGCTTCTGAGGATGATGATGTTGATGATGATGATGATGTTGATGATGATGATGATGATGATGATGATGATGATGATGATGATGATGATGATGATGATTATGATGATGATGATGATGATGATCCTGGTGGTGAGTATTTCATAGATGCCGTACTGTTTGATGAAGCGATTTCTCGTATGAAGTACGCAGTTTTATGGAGTTGTCCCATGGTGCACTTTCCTTGTTCAAGCAGTTCCATCGGAAGGGTTCTGCGACATGTGCGAACGTGGCCACTCAACTATCAGTTATGAGGAAGATGAGGATGAAGATAATCAGATGAGGATGAGGATGAGGGTGAGGATGAGGATGGAGAAGGCAGAAATGGAGGGGTATGGGGGAGGGAGACGGGCAGGAGATGAGGGACGCGGAGGAGGGGGAATGGGGAGGAGGGGGCGGGGAGGTGGAGGAGGGGTACACAGGAGAATTGGGAGGAGGTGGATAAGAAGGAAAGGTAAGCAGATTTCGCAGGCCCACCAAACAACAATACTGTACCCCGTCGCCATTTTGGCTCAAGAATCCGGCCCACGCGCACAGACCAGACGGCATCGGCAGCGCCACCGCTTCCTCACCCAAGCAGCAGAGATGGCGCCGATGATGAAGTCAACCGTGATGACCAAGAGCGCCCTCACCGCAGCGCTGGCGGAGGCCTGCGAGGTGAAGAGGGGCGTCATCGGCACGGCCTTGAGCACTCTCGCAAGCATTGCTTCGACTGAGGCGAAGAAGAACGGCAAGTTCGTCATCCCGGGAGTTGTGATGATCAAGACGCGCCAGAAGAAGGCGACCAAGGCGGGGAAGCGCGAGATCTTCGGCAAGGTCGTCATGGTGAAGGCGAAGCCGGCCAAGACCATCGTGAAGGCCTTCCCCGCGAAGGCCCTCAAGGACGAGTTCTGAGGGCCTCCTGGTCTGTGGCGAAACTTGCGAAGAGGCTCCGTGTGTGCTCCCCCAGTTCCTTCTCGTCCATCCCTCCCCCCTACGAGGAATCTTCGTGCCATTTTGTCCAGGTTGGCTGGAGGGTGCGTGGTCATGCATGGCCCTCTGGTGCCAGGACGCTCGGCGAGGGCGGTCATTTGTACTCCACATCCGTCTCGCAGAGAAAAACATCATTGCGCATCCCAGTTACGAATCCGAGGTAATTTGATTCTTGAGCACATGCAGCTCCTCCTTCTGGGTTGGTTGGAGCAGCCACGCTGGAGGCTGAGGACGAGGATGATGATGATGCTGATGACGATGATGCTGATGACGACGACCATGATGACCACGATGACGACGATAATGGTAATGGAAATGGAAATGGTAACGGTACTGGTACTGGTACTGGTACTGGTACTGCTATTGGTAATGGTAATGGTAATGGTAATGGTACTGGTTATGGTAATGGTGATGGTAGAGTACCGATGATGATATTGATGATGCTGATGACGATGAAGATGAATATGACGATGAATATGACGATGATAATGATGATGATGATGATGATGATGATGATGATGATGATGATGATGATGATGATGATGATGAACATGATGATGATGATGGTGGTGATGGTGGTGATTGTGGTTATGATGCTGGTGGTTCGGGTGATAATGCTGATGATGACCTTCCTGTGCCAGGACGCTCGGCGATGGCGGTCATTTGTAGTACACATCAGTTTCGCAGAGAAACATCATTGCACACCCCAGTCATGAATCAGAAATTATTTGATTCGTGAGCACATGCAGCTCTTCCTTTTGGTTGGTTGGAGCGGCCATGCTGGAGGTTGAGGACGAGGAGGATAATGACGATTGGGACGATAATGACGACCATGATGACCACGATGACGACGGTAATGGTAACGCTAATGGTAACGGTAATGGTAATGGTAATAGTAACGGTAATGGTCATGGAAATGGTTATGGTAATGGTAATCGTATTGGTAGCAATGATTCTGATTTCGATGATGATGACGATGACGATGACGATGATGATGATGATGCTGATGCTGATGTTGATGATGATGATGGTGGTGGTGAGGATGATGATGCTGATGATGGTGATCATGATGATGAGGAGGAGGAGTATGATTATGATGATCATGATGATCACGGCAATGACGATCTTGAAAATGATGGTTGTAATGATGATGATGATGATGATGATGATGGTGGTGGTGGTGATGATGATGATGATGATGATGATGATCCTTGTGTGAGTATTTCATGGACGTCGTACTGTTTGATGAAGCGATTTCTCGTATGAAGTATGCAGTTCCATCAGAATCGTTCTGCGACATGTGCGAACGTGGCCACTCAACTATCAGTTATGAGGAAGATGAGGATGAAGATACTCAGGTGAGGATGAGGATGAGGATGGAGAAGGCAGAAATTGAGGGGGATGGGGGAGGGAGACGGGCAGGAGATGAGGGACGCGGAGGAGGGGGAATGGGGAGGAGGGGGCGGGGAGGTGGAGGAGGGGTACACAGGAGAATTGGGAGGAGGTGGATAAGAAGGAAAGGTAAGCAGATTTCTCAGGTCACCAAACAAAAATACTGTACCCCGTCGCCATTTTGGCTCAAGATCCGGCCCACGCGCACAGACTAAGGCATCGGCAGCGCCACCGCTTCCTCACCCAAGCAGCAGAGATGGCACCGATGATGAAGTCCACCGTGATGACCAAGAGCGCCCTCACCGCAGCGCTGGCGGAGGCCTGCGAGGTGAAGAGGGGCGTGATCGGCACGGCCTTGAGCACTCTCGCAAGCATTGCTTCGACTGAGGCGAAGAAGAACGGCAAGTTCGTCATCCCGGGAGTTGTGATGATCAAGACGCGCCAGAAGAAGGCAACCAAGGCGGGGAAGCGCGAGATCTTCGGCAAGGTCGTCATGGTGAAGGCGAAGCCGGCCAAGACCATCGTGAAGGCCTTCCCCGCGAAGGCCCTCAAGGACGAGTTCTGAGGGCATCCTGGTCTGTGGCGAGCCTTGCGAAGAGGCTCCGTGTGTGCTCCCCCAGCTCCTTCTCGTCCATCCCTCCCCCCTACGAGGAATCTTCGTGCCATTTTGTACAGGTTGGCTGGAGGGTGCGTGGTCATGCATGGCCTTCTGGTGCCAGGACGCTCGGCGAGGGCGGTCATTTGTACTCCACATGCGTCTCGCAGAGAAAAAACATCATTGCACACCCCACATGCAGCTCCTCCTTCTGGGTTGGTTGGAGCAGCCACGCTGGAGGCTGAGGACGAGGAGGATAATGATGATTGAGACGATGATGACGACCATGATGATCACGAGGACGACGATAATGGTAATGGTAATGGTTCTGGTGATGGTAATGGTGATGATGATGCTGTTGACGATGGTGATGGCGATGGCGATTGCGATGGCGATGACGATGCTGATGACGGTGGTGGTGGTGGTGGTGATAATGATGATGATGATGATGATGATGATGATGATGATGATGATGATGATGATGATGATGATGATGATGCGGCGAATGGGATTGTGATGTTGGTGATGATTATGATGTTGTTGGTGTTGTTGACGATGATGATGATGGTGATGACACTGATGATCACGTTGACGAGGATATTTGATATGATGATGGTGGTGATGATGATGATCATGATGATATCAATTATGATGATGAAGATGATAATGATGATGATTATGAAACTGATGATGATGCTGATTGTTGATGATGATGATGATGATGATGATGATGATGATGATGATGATGATGATGATGATGGTGATCCTTATGGTGCGTATCCCATAAACATCGCACCGTTAGATCAATCTACGTCTTGTGTGACGTACGCAGTTTTAATAGATTTGTCTGGGGTGCATTGAACGTGTGCATCTGGGAGGAGAAGGGAGGGCATGAGGAGGATAAGGACGAGAAGGAAGAGGAGTAGGAGGATGGGTGAGAGGTGGGGAGGAGACCGGGGTCGTGGAGTAGTGAGGAGGAGGGGGAGGATGGGTATACAGGAGAAGTGGGAGTAGGCGGATGAGAAGGGAAGTTGAGCAGATTTCGCAGGCCCACCAAACAGAAATTCTGTATCCCGTCACTACTTTGGCTCAAGTTCCGGCCCACGCGCACAGACCAGAAGGCATCGGCAGCGTCGCTGCTTCCTCATCCAAGCAGCAGAGATGGCGCCGATGATGAAGTCCACTGTCATGACCAAGAGCGCGCTCACCTCAGCGTTGGCAGAGGCCTGCGAGGTGAAGAGGGGCGTGATCGGCACGGCCTTGAGCACCCTCGCGAGCATTGCGTCGACTGAGGCGAAGAAGAACGGCAAGTTCGTTATCCCTGGCGTTGTGATGATCAAGACGCGCCAGAAGAAGGCGACCAAGGCGGGGAAGCGCGAGATCTTCGGCAAGGTCGTCATGGTGAAGGCGAAGCCGGCCAAGACCATCGTGAAGGCCTTCCCCGCGAAGGCCCTCAAAGACGAGTTCTGAGGGCCTCCCGGTCTGTGGCGAGCCTCTTCGTCCATCCCTCCCTCCGAGGAATCTTCGTGCCATTTTGTCCAGGTTGGCTGGAGGGTGCGTGGTCATGCATGGCCTTCTGGTCCCAGGACGCTCGGCGAGGGCGGTTCTTTGTACTCCACATGCGTCTCGCAGAGAGAAACATCATTGCACACCCCAATCACGAATCCGAAACGATTTTGATTCGTGAGCAAATGCAGCTCTTCCTTCTGGGTTGGTTGGAGCAGCCACGCTGCAGGCTGAGGACGAGGAGGATAATGATGATGATTGGGATGATGATGATGATGATGATGATGATGATGATGATGATGATGATGACGAACATGGTGACCACGGTGACGACGATAATGGTAGTGGTAATGGTGATGGTAACGGGAATGATCATGGTACTGGTAATGGTAATGGTAATGGCAATGGTAATGGTAATGGTAATGGTAATGGTAATGGTCGTGATGATGGTAATGGTAATGGTAATGGTAATGGTAATGGTAATGGTAATGGTATTGGTAATGGTAATGGTAATGGTAATGATAATGGTAATGGTAATGGTAATGGTAATGGTAATGGTAATGGTAATGGTAATGGTAATGGTAGTGGTCATGGTCATGGTCATGGTCATGGTAATGGTAATGGTAATGGGAATGGCGATGGTGATGGTAATGGTAGAGTAGCGATGACGATGACGATGATGATGACGATGATGTTGAATATGACGATGGTAATGATGATGATGATGATGATGATGATGATGATGATGATGATGATGATGATGATGGTGATGATGATGATGATGATGATGATGATGATGATGATTATGATGATGACGATGGTGGTGGTCATGGTGGTGATGGTGGTTATGATGCTGGTGGCTCGGGTGATAATGCTGATGATGACCTTCCGGTGCCTGGATCCTCGGCCAGGGCGGTCATTTGTACTACACATCCGTTTCGCAGAGAGAGACATCATTGCACACTCCAGTCACGATCCGAAATGATTTGATTCGTGAGTACGTGCAGCTCTTTCTTGGGTTGATTGGAGCAGCCATGCTGGAGGCTGAGGACGAGGAGGATAATGATGATTGGGACGACGATGACGACCATGATGACCACAGTGACGACGGTAATGGTAATGGTAATGGTAATTGGCATTGGTAATGGTAATGGTAATGGTAATGGTAATGGTAATGGTAATAGTAATGGTAATGGTAATGGTAATGATAATGGTAATGGTAATGGTAATGGTAATGGTAATGGTAATGGTAATGGTATTTGTACTGGTAATGGTAATCTCAATGGTAGGTATTGGTGTGGCAATGTTAATAGTACTGGTAGCGATGATTCTGATTCTCATGATGACGATGACGATGACGATGACGGTGATGATTCTGCTGCTCATGATGATGTCGATGCTGATGCTGATGATGATGATGCTGATGATGAGGAGGAGGATGAACATGATCATGATGATCATGATGATCATGACAACGACGATATTGAACATGATGGTGGTGGTGATGATGATGATGATGATGATGATCCTTGTGGCGAGTTTTTCATAGACGTCGTACTGTTTGATTCAGCGATTTCTCGTATGAAGTACGCAGTTTCATGGAGTCCCTTGGTGCATCTTCCTTGTTCAAGCAGTTCAGTTAGGAGGGCTCTGCGACATGTGCTGACGTGGCCACTCAACTATCAGTCATGAGGAAGATGAGGATGAGGATAATGAGATGAGGATGAGGATGAGGATGGAGAAGGCAGAGATGGAGGGAGATGGGGGAAGGAGACGGGCAGGAGATGAGGGACGCGGAGGAGGGGGAATGGGGATGAGGGTGCGGGGAGGGGGAGGAGGGCTACACAGGAGAATTGGGAGGAGGTGGATAAGAAGGACAGGTAAGCTTTTTTTGCAGGCCCACCAGACAGAAATACTGTACCCCGTCACCAGTTTGGCTCAAGTTCCAGCCCACGCGCACAGACCAGAAGGCATCGGCAGCGCCACTGCTTCCTCATCCAAGCAGCAGAGATGGCGCCGATGATGAAGTCCACCGTGATGACCAAGAGCGCCCTCACCGCAGCGTTGGCGGAGGCCTGCGAGGTGAAGAGGGGCGTGATCGGCACGGCCTTGAGCACTCTCGCAAGCATTGCGTCGACTGAGGCGAAGAAGAACGGCAAGTTCGTCATCCCTGGCGTTGTGATGATCAAGACGCGCCAGAAGAAGGCGACCAAGGCGGGGAAGCGCGAGATCTTCGGCAAGGTCGTCATGGTGAAGGCGAAGCCGGCCAAGACCATCGTGAAGGCCTTCCCCGCGAAGGCCCTCAAGGACGAGTTCTGAAGGCCTCCTGGTCTGTGGCGAACCTTGCGAAGAGGCTCCGTGTGTGCTCCCCCAGTTCCTTCTCGTCCATCCCTCCCCCCTCCGAGGAATCTTCGTGCCATTTTGTCCAGGTTGGCTGGAGGGGGCGTGGTCATGCATGGCCTTCCGGTCCCAGGACGCTCGGCGAGTGCGGTCATTTGTATTCCACATCCGTCTCGCAGAGATAAACATCATTTCACACCCCAGTCACGAATCCGAAATGATTTAATTCGTGAGCACATGCAGCTCCTCCTTCTGGGTTAGTTGGAGCAGCCACGCTGGAGGCTGAGGAAGAGGAGGATAATGATGATTGGGATGATGATGATGATGATGATGATGATGATGATGATGATGATGACGACGAACATGGTGACCATGGTGACGACGTTAATGGTAGTGGTAATGGTTATAGTAAAGGTAATGGTCATGGTACTGGTAGTGGTAATGGTAATGGTCGTGATGATGGTAATGGTGATGGTATTGGTATTGGTATTGGTATTGGTATTGGTATTGGTATTGGTATTGGTAATGGTAATGGTAATGGTTGTGGTAATGGTAATGGTAATGGTAATGGTAGTTGTGATGGTAATGGTAGAGTAGCGATGGTGATGATGACGATGACGATAATGATGATGATGATGATGATGATGATGATGATGATGATGATGATGATGATGATGCTGGTGATGATGATGATGCTGATGATGATGATGATGATGACGATGTGGACGATGAAGATGAAGATATCGATTACTATGACGATGGTAATGATGATGATGATGATGATGATGATGATGATGATGATGATGATGATGGTGGTGGTCATGGTGGTGATGGTGGTTATGATGCTGGTGGCTCGGGTGATAATGCTGATGACGACCTCCCAGTGCCAGGACGCTCGGCGAGGGCGGTCATTTTTACTACACATCCGTTTCGCAGAGAGAAGCATCATTGCACACCCCAGTCATGAATCCGAAATGATTTGATTCGTGAGCACATGCAGCTCTTTCTTTTGGGTTGATTGGAGCAGCCATGCTGGAGGCTGAGGACGAGGAGGATAATGATGATTGGGACGACGATGACGACCATGATGACCACAGTGACGACCGTAGCGGTAATGGTAATGG